AAAAGTAGGGAAAGAGCGAATATAAAGATAGGAGACGAAAAATTAGAAGAAGTGGCTGATTTTAGATACCTAGGAAGTCAGATAAGTGAGGATGGAAGGAGTAGTAGGGATATAAAGCAGAGGATAGCGCAGGGTCGAGTCGCCATCAATAAAAAGAAGTCACTTCTATGCTCGCCAATGATTAATTTAGAAATTCTAAAAAGGTTGTTAAAGGTGTATGTTTGGAGCACGGCGTTGTACGGGTGCGAAACATGGACAGTGGAAGTAGCGGAAAAGAAAAGGTTAGAAGCGTTCGAAATGGGGTGGTACAGGCGAATGATGATGATACCGTGGATAAAGAAGGTTAGAAATGGAGAGGCATTAGAAAGAGTAAGAGAACAGAGGACTCTATGGAAGTCAATAAAAAATAGGTGAGATAGGTTAGTGGGATACCTTCTTAAGCATAAAGGTCTAGTCAGAGACATATTAGAAGCAGAAACGGGAGTTAGGAGGGGTAGAGGTAGACCTAGATTAGATTACTGTTCGCAAATAGTTGAGGATGTGGGTTGTTCTAGTTTTGGAGAAATGCGAACATTAGCTCAGAATAGGAACGAGTGGAGGTGCGTGTCCAGCTAGTCTTAGGACTGACGACCTTATAATGACAAACCAAATAGAATTTAAATAACATTCGATCTATTATCAAAAAAAAAGCATGTCCGGTAACATAGCTCCGCCATTTCTGTAAGTAGTTGTGCTGAAGTGTGCTAGTACTATTGTTTCACTAAATTGAAAGTTATCAAAATTACGTAATTAGATTAGGTTACATTGTTACTTTAGGTTTACCTCTACCTCTCATAAATTCTGTTACTACTTCTAATATATCCCTAACTAACCCCTCATGTCTGAGAAGGTGTCCTATCTAGACTACTTCTTACCTATAGATGTTTATAACGTCCTCAGAACATTAGCACAGTTTAGCACATCTATTTTTTTTTCCTTTCAAAAATGCATGTAATGGGACATCAGGATCAAGACCTACTTTACTTTTAATTTTTTATTTTAAATACATGCATGTATAATGTATTATAATTTTATATATAATTCTGTAGCAAGAAATGTATTTTATTGTAATGTATCGACTTCACAAACCGCAACATTTGAAAGAAATATTAATTAGGTATCTAAAAACTTGGAAAATGTTCCTAGCACGAGGCGAAACGTCGATCTCAGCTTTATAATCAATAAACCTTGAAACCCTTATACCTATTGGCTTGATTTCTACATATTAAGTAATGTACGAAAAGTGTATATAGGTACTTCAGTACAGCAAAGAAAGACGTAGGAAATTTGTCATTCATTAAATTTGGATGCTTGCTACAAGGTAATAAACTCTTTTTAAAAAAACAAAAATCAATATCAGCAAATAATGCCATGTAGAATAATGATAGACAGATTTCAATGATGCCTGGAATCAACAAGATTAAACAAACAATAAAACTATGAAAAATTTAAAATTGCGAAGCACGACAAGACATTTCAGTGTGAAATTGTGAATTAAAAATTTAATACTTACAACGGTATTCAATATAATTTCATATCATTTAATTAAAAAAAAAAAAAAAACAGCTACTTCCTGAAAAACTGTATAAAATATGACAAGTATTTAAAAGTCGTAACCTATATCCCGGACAAGATAGCCTTATCGACTTGGTTAAAGCTCCATTTTTACAGAGGTTTATACGACGGATAAATAATGCAAAATTCCCTTTTTATAATCCGCCTCGTAACAAAATTTTACTGGGATAATGCCGAAACGGCAATAAACGGATAACAAATCTCTTGTTCGCAGCGGTATAAGTGGTTGTAGACGTAAAAGGGCTCCTACAAGGATTATACGACAACTCGCCGGAAATAACTGCACAACGATAGTTACGATGGTCATTCGTTTAATAGGGGCCATTTTAAAGGATTTCTATGTCATTAAATTTTTCTAAGGGTAATAATTACATATATTCACAAAATGTAAGGGCGGACATTAAGGTAATACAATTTCAGTCGTACTGGTCGCAGATTTTTATTCTGAAAACTCACTCAGTTTCATTTTAAATCCATTTTATGTACTTATTAGTTATACTTTGGCTTTCTTCTTCTACTTAATCCGTTTCGGTCAAACAAAGTGAAGGGCATGATTTAATATTAAATCTAGATTGCAGTTTAATATTTAATTTTAAATATTCAACTTCATTTCACTAATGTGCTTTACTAAGATTACAATTCTACTTACACCGTTCTTGTTGAGACAAACCGTAAAAAGGTAAAAAATTATTAAGTGTAACATGATTATGTAGTGTTTTAACGTTAATTTTTCTTAAACCTAAACATAGAGATGTAAAGACAGATAAGAGCTGGTAAAATTTTAATCTACTTATTAAATTATTTATGAATTAACTGTGCTATTACTGCATATAAGCATATAGTAAATATATACATATGATGAAAATTGGACGTTATATCATGGGCCTAGACTCAAAAATATTGTTTCTCAATGAATAAAAAGAAAGCTTTGTGAGTAACACACTCTCAAACTCGACAAATACCTAAATGATAAATATTCTCTCTTATTAACGATCTGTTCTTCTTTTATATTATGTTAAAATTATATTTTCAACCCTTCATATTAATGAAATTCTTTCTTTTAATTATTTAACTAATAGTAATTGATCGTATTTTGTAATTTACAAAAGATCAATGCACTAGCATTGCGAGAAACATCTTGAAACGTTTAATATGAAACGGAGACTTCAACGTTGCGTTAGGAAGGAAACCCGCTGTTGCAGTTCACGCGGACCCATTTCAGATGCCGTTAAATGGCGAATACTCAAAAATTAAATTCAAGGAATTATACTGCTTTGTTTAAACTACCACATGACTATACTTTTGGCAGGACCTTCTTAATTTTCACTTCAAAATACAAAAATGCAATGCAAATGTGAATTATTTAACATTATAAAAGCAAAAAAACTAACAAAAACAATAACTCTTAGGTCATTCCGCTTATAATTATTAAAAACCGATGTTAAAATATGGTGGTACACCTACTCAACTGTGACATAGGGATTTCCCATAAACATTTATAAACAAGTCAGTACTTACTTTAGAAACAACAACTTCTAATTTATTTATAACAAAGTAACTATTACAGGAAAAATGAAGTTGTCAGTGACAGAAATTGTGTCTATCTTTGTACATTTTCAATTATAATGCATTTTTAAGGTTTGTGGGATTGTGACCTAAAACGTCCCACTTCTAGTTTCTAAACGAAAAATTTATATAGGAATACATTACACGTTGGGTTTAAATTTTGAAAAGGTGCATTTTAAACTAGATTAGGCTTTCATAAATCCATCATCATTATCATCATCATCATAATCATAGGATGCGTCGTCAGTTCTAAGACTGGTTGGACCCGCATCTAAAACTCATTCCTAAACTGAACTAATCTTCCCAACTAGAACATCCCACATCCTTAACTATTGGTGAACAGTAGTCTTATCTAGGTCTATTTGTGCTCCTCTTAACTTCTGTTTCTGCTTCTAATATGTTTCTAACTAGCCCTTCATGCCTGGGAAAGTGTCCTACCAACCTATCTAGCCTATTTCCAATTCACTTCTATAGCGTCCTCTATTCTCCTACCCTTTCTAAAATTCTTTAAAAAATATTTTTTGTTGTTTCCTTTAGTTTTTGGGACATCTTTATAAATTAAAATAATTTACCTAAAGGAAAAATGTACTATTTTTTAAGTATTTATCAAAAAATAAGAATATATAGCGTTTAGAATATTTTCCTACTAGACCAAAGTGCTAAGAACAACAAAATAAGAAATTAGGGAAAATTACATGTTTTACAAGGTATCTAAACCCATTTTCATGTATAACCTGAAAATAAAAGGGTCAGCCACCCTATATTGTTCTCAAACACGCGATAACACCGTTCCATTATCCCCTAGTAAAACAGAGAACTCGAACGGTTTACTGATTGCGATGATAAGAAAATATCCCATCACAACCACATGTTTGCGGTTTGCGCATTTTCGCGCAATCACGTGTCTATATACATATATACTCGTATTTGTCTACATACATACAGAGAGAAAGCACAGAGCACGACCAGGATGATGACGCCAACGTCGTTGACATTCGACAGCAGATAGTGGCGCGCACCGTCGTCGACGCTCGCCGTCTTCATCGGCGTCGTCGCGTAATTTTAACACACAACGCGAACAGTAACGGCGCGGATTGCGTGACGTCATGAACTTGTGAAAATTTCAATTGTTTCCCGAATCGAAGGCGGCCGGCTCAAGGTAAGCTGCTTTACTTTTAAGTTTTCTCTTTTGCTGTAGCCAATTAATAATTTTCACTTGGTTTTTTTTTTTATATCAAGCAATTATTGTTAGTGTGGTTTAGCAAAATTTTGATCTAGTTAAATATCTATCTAAATCAATCTAATTAAAGAAGATTTTGTGCTATTGTGCACTATTATACAACCATTTAAAGAAACCGTTTATTTGTAGCAAAATAAACATCAGACATAACAATAAAGCCAAATGTATCAATAAGGACCTAAATCTACCCCCACAGTGTAACAATTCTCTAAGAATACCTATCATTACCGCAACAGTATTGACTCTTTGTAAATTAAACTAATTAGAACCAAGGTCGTTATTAGCTTCTTTTGAAAAATGATAACTCGATAAATTTTGCAACCTAATTCTCAGTTTCAACAGCATATACATCTGGATTTAATCCAATAACTGAAACTTTTTACAGTTTCTACAATTTTTTGTTAATAAGTTATAATGAGAATAGACAAAATTTAATTTTTACCTCGAAACGAATTAATTAAAAACTTCCAACTGTCTCCGAAATTGAGTTTTAAAAAGTTTCAAGCTCGCAATCCGAAGGTAACAATAAAAATTTGGTAATTAAAATAATAAAATAAGTCCTCTGTGTTGCTTTTCTTTAGGGAAAGATTTATTATCCTCAAGTTATAAGCATATAGGAAAAAAAAATTTCGATCTAGTAAATCCGCCCTAATTTATTTCTTCGAAGTCGTGTTAGTCCGATAGTAGATAGTAGTGCGAGCTAAAACTGAGTCAGTTTTCTTAAATAACGACAAAGATATCCAACGGAGTTTTCTACATATGCATTGCACACAGGGTGATATACGAGGGTGGATTGATAAGTTTCCGGCCTGACCAAGAAAAACAAGGTTTTTAAAAATTTTTTTTTTTTATTTCTCAACATAATCTCCTCCAAGGCTGATACATTTCTCATAGCGGTGTTCCAGTCTATTAATGCCATCTCTATAGACTGATTCGTCAAGCTCCTCAAAATAACCATTTACAGCTTCGATTACTTCTTCATTGTCCGCAAATCTCT